GCTTGGTCATAGCAGACAAAGAGTAGCGGTGGAAGGGCGCTTTTCAGAATGATCAATAACTAGTGGTGTTCCACAGGGATCACTGCTGGGACCTTTGTTGTTTGTAATGTTTATAAATAATCTGGAGAAAAATGTAGGTTGTCTGATTAGTGCGTCGATGACACCAAAATTGGCAGAGTTGAAGGTAGTGAGGAGGATTGTCAAAGGATACCGTGGGATATAGGTAGATTGCAGAATTGGACAGAGAAATAGCAGATGGAGCGTAATCTGGAAAAACGCGAGGTGACGCATTTTGGAAGATCAAATTCAGGTGCAAATTATACAATAAATGACAGAACCTTTCAGAGCACTGATGTCGAGAAGGTCAGGTTCACAGATCCCTCAAAGTAGCAATACAAGTGAATAAGGTGGTCCAGAAGGCATACGGCACGCTTGCCTTCATTGGCTGGGGCATCGGACATAAAAGTTGACAACTTATGTTACAGCTGTATAAAACTTTAGTTAGGTTACATTTGGAATATTGTGTGCAGTTCTGGTCACCACACTACCAGAAGTATGTGGATGCTTTGGAAAGAATGCAGAGAAGGTTTACCAGGATAGTCTGGAAGGTTTTAATTATGAGGACAGGTTGAATAAATTCAGATTGTTTTCCCTGGAAAGACGGAGGCTGATGGGCGACCTGATAGAGGTTTACAAAATTATAGAGAGGCTAGATAGAGTGTTAGTCAGAGGCTTTTTGCCAAAGTAGAAAAGTCAACTTCAAGAGGGCACAGGTTCAAAGTGGAGGAGAAAAGTTTAGGGGAGAAATATGGTGAAAATTTTTCACATAAAGGATCGTGAGTGACTAAAATACATTGCCAGTGGAGGTGGTGGAAGCAGGCACGTTAGCAATGTTTAAGGCATATCTTGATAGACACATGAACATGAGGCAAATAGAGGGATAGATACCACTCATGGGCAATAAGTAGGGGTCGAAATACAGATTAGGAATCAGCCCAGGCTTGGTGGGCTAAATGGCCTGTTCCTGTGCTGTATTGTATAAAATAAACTCATGATGACTTAAAAATCACCCAACACAAGTTTTTCACAACTTTTCTCCAACATTTTTTTTTAACATGTGTGCAATGTAAATTGTATATTACAGAATCACAGAATCCTTATCACACAGGAGACCATTTAGCCCATTGCGCTAAACTGGTTCTCTTACCTAGTGTCAATCTTCTGCCTTTTCCTCATAGGCCTGTGCACTATTTCTCTCCAAATAATAATCCAATGCCCTCTCGGATATTTCAATTGAACAAGGTAACTATTCATTACAAAACGTTTGCTTCATTTGTATGTCACTGTAAACTCTTGTTTTTTCTCTCTCTCTGTTATGAGCAAGAACAACTTCTCCCCATCTGTTTGTCCAGCTTGCTCATGATTTTGAAAACCTCAATTAAATCTCCTTTCAGCCTTCTTTTCTCCAAGGAGAACAGCCCTAGCTTACTGAATCTATCCTCATAACTGAAGTTTATTATTCCTGAAACCATTCTTGTAAATTGTTTCTGCAAACTCTCCACTGTACTCACATCTTTCCTGTAATGTGGCATTCACAACTATACATAATGCTCAACTGAGGTCTAACAAATAATCTCTACAAGTTCACCATCTTGTATTCTAAGCCCCTATTACTAGCAGAGCAGTTGGCTTCATTAACTGCTCACTCCATCTATCCTGCCACCTTTAACTATCTGTACACATATACACCTAGGTCTCTCTGCTCCTGTGCCACCTTTAGAATTGTACACCCTATGTTATATTGTCTTTCAATGTTCTTCCAACCAAAGTGCATCACCTCCCACTTCTCTGCATTGAACCTTATTTGCCACCTGTCCATCAATTCCACCAATGTATTTTCAGTTCTAAACTGTCCTTCTCACAGCTTACAATTCTCCCAAATTTACTGTAATCTGCAAACTTTGAAATTGTCCTTTAGAAAAGGAAATTGCCATCTTTTCCTGGTCTAGCCTACATGTGACTCCAGACCCACAATGTGATTGACTCTTAAATGCCTTCTTGGCAGTTGGGAAGGGCAATAAATGCTGATGTAGCCAGTGATGCCCATATCTCAACAATGAATAAAAAAACACTACAATGGTCTCTCCTGTGTCTGCAATACATACCTGTCGTCATTCATCACTCATTACCTAATTCTATCAGCTGTATAAATATTAAAGTATAGCCATTTTCACGGTATCTTACTAATTGTGTTTATGGACTAGAAACACTTCATTATACCATTTCATGCAATCAAAAAATGTTCTAAATAAACCATTATGGCACAAAAATCGCTGAATTTTACATTTCACAGCATTGTGATTTGTTTTACTTCATCCCTCAGATCATTTTGATTTTGCACCACAGATTGTTGTAAGCTTGAACTGCAAATAATACAACGTCACCAATGTAGATAGGGCCTTCTACTTAATAACAAGATCTGAAAGCCATGTTTGAAAAATAAAAGTTATAGGATAAGCTATTGAGTTTTGATGTTGCGTCTGTATAGTCCAGTAGAAAAGAAACGTGTTCATGTCGTAACCGCAATATTGAAAATTGGGAAGTTTCCATCAGAAATCCCTATTTGTCAACCTTCACGTTCAGTTTTGCAGTAGGTCTCTCAACTGCACGTTATTAGAACATTATAATTTCCACGTTTTGCTCTGTGATATGGAACTCTATCATAGTTAAGATACCTACCAAATCACATTTGTGTTTCAATATATCATCTTGATCAAAAAGAAAAATACAATTCTATACTTTATCAAATGAGAAAACTTAAAGAAAATGAATGTTGAAGTAACAGTACCGTCTGTTTCTTTCAAAAAAAAGTTTGATTCTGTTTGTTGCTCCCGTGTCAAGTTTTCGCACGAGTCTGCTTCAGTCGGTGGCCCGCCTACCACACACATGCACGCAGACTTTAAAGAAATGTTTAAGTACCTCCAGAGGCGCGTTTGTTTTAACCCCCACCAACAACCCCGACACACAGACAGAATAAAGATGGAAGAGTTGGCGGTTGGCTCTCTGCGATCCCAGGTGTCCGGAGCTTCTTCGCCGCGAGCCCAGGTGACTCGGCACCACGCGACAGCAACCGCGCCACGAGCCCAGGTGCCATGCCCTCCGTTGCCTATCAGGGGAGCGAGGCGAAGGCGCGGGAGAAAGCAGCACGTGCAACCACCCTGCCCAGTACACGAGGGTGCTCGGCTTGCAAAGGCACGGCTTTGTGCACCAAAGAGTAGTTGCTAGCCCACCTCTGTCCCCCTGTTCTTAAAAAAAAACACACAAGCGCAGGCAAAGAGCGCTAATTATCAGATGTACAAATAATAGCCCTTAGAAAACTGTAACGCCCCGGTGAGGCAGCAGAAAACATTTGTTCAGCTGTGTGTGGCGCATGCTGTGTCATCTGGAAGTCCTTAAGTGTAAAAATTAACGGCTCCTCGAAATATGCTGAGTGCGTGACTATGCAGGGAATAACGGCATGGGGATGTTTATTTAAAACTATTTCACTGGACGTCTGGATTTCTACCTGATACATTCCGGTCACGTGTGGGCAAAGAGTAACAAAAGAAAGGAAGTTGAAATCTTACACAAACTGTGCTAAGAGGCATTTTAACTAACATTTTAATCGCGAAGCCTTTTCCATGCTTTACTTCACCCTCCTCCCTCCACCCCCACGGTTCGCTTTGCTCACACTTGTATGTGAGATCGGGTATTGGAGTTGTTTGTCTTAACCTAGTAGTAGTACAGCAAAGCATTTTATTCGTCAAAAGAATCCCCCGCTTATTTAAGTAGTGAATAGATGACATCGAAATAAATTAAAGCGCGATTTAGAAATCGGGGAATTAACAGTTTGCTGAACTGAGTTTGAAGGTATCGTCAGGTAACTTTGCCACGAGGATCGTCAGATTATTTACCAAACATCCGATTTGACTACACATTTCTCACAGATTCTGTTCGCTAATAAACTTTCAAAGTAATCACTGGCAACAACGCAACTCGTAAAGGGGATGTATGTTATCCCCAATCCACTGGGACAAAGCCGAGGGCTGTCGATCCGCCCCTTCCTCCTCTGGAGGAACCTTGTCTGCATTTTTCGAAGGGGAAAGGGATACAAGGTCAGGAGACGGATGTACTTCACGGCCAACCGGTCCAAACTGATGTTCTTTATTGTTTCAAGCTAAGTTCAGTGACACTTTGATTTATTCCAGAAGCTCGACTGGACTCGAGCAAAGGCTACTTGAGAACCGCGCACTGTTTTCTACTCAGACGTTAACCACAGTCAAGGCATAAGGTCAGAGCTATTTCTCTCTCCTGGCTTTGCCACTAATCAGTTTCATTCTCTTCCTACAAGTCCCTCCCTCGTCAAGTCACTCTACTGTTCAAACCGGCTTTCAGCTCTTTGCTGCGGAATTGTTCGGCTTTGAACACGGGAAAATATTTCGCAATTGTGATTATACCAATTTATTTTATTTGGTACAGTTTTTGGGGAAACACCGGTTTTATTTCAATCGACATTGACGTTTGCTGTCGCCTCATGAAAGAGTGATAGATATGGAAAAATAAATCTGATCGATTGCAAAACAGCTTCCTGTTAGCGATCATTACTTCTAAAATGCATTCTAAAAGTACCTTTTAAATGAAAGAAAAATCAATTGTACGTGAGGTTTTGCCGCCTCATGGCTGCAAATTCCGACATGCACTCGTAGACATAGATCACTCACTTAGTCTTTTAAGTAATATATCTGTTTAAAAACGTAATACTTCAATGTTTATTTCGGCCAATGGCTACAATATCAAAGAAATGAATGAACTCCGCCCAGAAATTTAAAAATAATTTTAAAACTACTGTAATTGATTTAAAGCAGAGATCTTTTGCATTCACAGACAGGATGTATGCGTAAAAAACGTCTTTCGACCGAGGGATAGTGAAGTTTATTTTCCTTATCTGAAAGCACTCTTACCAGCAACTAAACAGATGGGAAGAAGCAATCTGAAGATCAACCCACACACCACTTCCGATGCCATTGTAAAAAGACGGTTCTTTTCTCAAATCTGCAAAGGGTGTTCAAATTCTTGTTGAACGCAGGGAGCCAGTTATCATTTAAAATGCGCAAAAATCCCAATCAACTGTAGGTCCGGCCTCACCGAAAGCTAAAGCAATCGTGTCATGGTGTCCCCGTGAGTTTATCCTCCAGAAACGGGAAGTGTCAACAGTTTGTTAGCATCGCCGGAATGGCCCATCAAGTACCGGTTTATCTGATGGAGTCAAATTATTTTCATAACGCCTGGGGAGTCCAATAAGCAAATATCGCCCCACCTTCAATGTTGTCCTTTTTTTTAAACGCAGCTTTGTGCAACAACAAAAGAAGGCGACGATGCTACGAACGACTGTAAGAAATGATCCAGAAGCCAATTTGTTTCCTATTTTCTAGCAAGCGGACTTCAAAAACTTCTGCTGTTAAATCCCTTGGCCCCTATGACTCACCGCTGAAGCAGAATCGGAGCCCAACACGTTTCACTGATGTTGCTTCTGTACTAGCATTTTTTTATCCAGTTGTTTTTTTTACACAAGAAGATTCACATCTGCAACGTGAATATGAGGGCACTCCATCGCCGATGGTCAATTTACTCGTTACCTTGTGGCTCCAGTTTTCTTTGCGGTGGGCAGAAACACTCACGGTATTTTTTTTGGAAAACCAGATGCGAGTGGGTGCGTTCTGTGTCACTAAATGTATGGCTTTTAAATCCCGCTGATACTGTCTTGAAATTTCAGCTTCGCCGCAATGCCCCTCTCTGGTTCTGGCTTCCAGCTGCTCCTGCTGTTCTGCTGACATCTGACTCTACTTCCCTCCACCTTCAATGAAACTTTGTCCAAACCAAATCCCACCTCCTCCTTCGTGATTGACGTTGAAATCCAACCATTCACAAACGAGGCGAGGCGTGGGGAGAGGAATATTATCTCTCATATTAGAATGAAAGCCAAATTTACAAATCCAGACCGGGCTTGCGGCATGGGACTTATCCCTTGGAATAGGGTGTGGAAACTCTTCCTTTCTGTGCTCCGAAGTAGGATTCGAGCCGCCTTCGAATTACACGGAGGTTATGAGGATAAGCCGACAATGATCTTTACAATATAAAACAGTCCAGAACATTGGCAGAACGAAAATCTAATTCGCGAAACACTTGCAAATTCGGTGTCAAAACGAGATGAAGACTTTAAAGTTTATCTATGTAAGGAATTAAACATAAACTTATCTTAACAACTGCATATAGTTCGTCTTCAGCGGGTTGGTTTTTAAGATTAAATCGCTACGGCAAAAATTAATTTGGTATGTAACTTGTAAGCTAAAAGCGTAACCGCTAAATAAATAAAGCAATACATTTAATGTTGATTTAAGAACTTGAACTGTCAGGTTTTAAATAGGAAAACAACTTAAAAGAGGCAATAATGTCAAAAGCCTATTTTTAAAAATCCATTCCGAATAAACAGAAAATGCTAAAGAAACTCAGCAGGTCTAGCAGCTGAATTCCACGAGCAATCTGTTTGTTTCAGATTTCCAGCACCCGCAGTACTTTGGACTTTGTATGAAATCAATTGTTACTTGCTTAAAGGGTTGAAGGATGCATGCAATCTTTTTCAAAACAAAACAGAATCGCGAGAGAAACCTGGCGTCCAAAATTAAACAACTATATTTTTTGGACCCACGAGTTCCGCGCTTCAATACTGGGACATTTGGTGAAATGCCAGCCCCCCAGAGACAGAAAGATCCGCTTATATTATTGGGCCCCGTCATTTAATTTCTCTGCTCTGGAAATTTTAAGACTTTGCAATATTGTCCTGGAAATTCAAAGTAATTCTCTAGCACTGTAACCGGAAAGGGATCCACCTGGAATATTCTCAACCCTGAGCATTGTTTTCCGTTAAAAACAATGGCAACTACTCTTTTTTTAAAAAAAAGTACTTGTTGGAAAGAAGCTGGGTTAAAAAAAGTCATCCTTTTTTAAAATGTCAATTTTGACTTTTGTTGAACATATACATTTGAAGCCCAAAGCACCTTTGCATTAGTTTTGCAGATTGCAAATAAACCCACTACTTAGCTGCTTTGATTTTTCTTTATATCAAAAATGACTGATTTTAAGGTCTTCAAATTATTGGAAATTATGAGCAGTAAAAATTTCAGTTACATTAACAAATAAACATTAGAGATAACAGAAATGAGCTGTCAGTGTTACTGTAATAGAGAAGGCTCTGCATTTCCTTTACACACTAAAAAGTTAATAATTTATTACATCTATGTGCAATTGTTAAAGCATATTGAGATTATATAGTTATAGATCTAATAGCCAATTCAGATGTAGGTAAAAGGCAATGCCTAATTTCCTAAACCTTGTCCAGTCATCTAATTTGCCAGCTGCCACCTAATAATTGTAATTATTTGATGTGATGGAAAAGACTGCATTAATAAGTAACCAGGCAATCAGCTCCAGTTATTAGTTGGCAATTGTGGAGCCACTGAAAATTCTAGCCTGCATATTACATGATAGAACAAATAAGTGAAATACAGTCATAACTGCACACAAGAGTCAACTATAAAAGATTTTTAAAAATAAACAAATATTATGTGATTGATTGTCTTTATTTGACTTTATGTAACTACCTCAATAAAATATTCTTTTTGTTTTTTTATTGTCATAGTAAAATACTATGACTAATACTTTAATTGATGTAAAATTAAGCTAGATTAAGACAACACTGGTCAGAACATGGGAAAATAAGTAACAACACATATGAGTGTAATTAGTTAATAAACAAGGAGAGGTGCTGAGAATCTTGAATAAATATTAAGATAAAAAAGCAAAAAATGTGTCCCAGGCAACCAAAATTCTTTCCTTCCTGTAGTCCTAGTATTTCACAACTGTGATATTTAGAAGAAAACTTGTTTTTGTTTAGATAGTTATGTATTTGATTTTAGATAATTATCCATCACATACCAATGCAATGATATTCCTATGTTTTTTTTTATCTTTTATTTAAGATTATAAATTAGAATGTAATGTGGCTCACTTACACTTAATAGAAGCTGCATATATTCAAAAACAGGGATCTGCCCTCTGCAGACAAAAGGGTCATATTCGGGCATTGTATTTTTTTGAATCAAACAAAAGTGGAGGGTCAGTTTTCCTTGGTGCATTCTCCATTACAACACCTTGACTAGAATTCACTGAACCAATCAGCACCCTTTTTCTTATATACTCGCACTGGAGGGGGTGCAGAGGAGATTCACTTGGTTGATTCCAGAGTTGAGAAGGTTGGATTATGAGGACAGACTGAGTTGACTGGGATTATACTCATTGGAATTCAGAAGAATGAGGGGAGATCTTATAGAAACATATAAGATTATGGAGGGAATAGATAAGGTGGAGGCAGGGAGGTTGTTTCCGCTAGCAGGTGAAACTAGGACTAGAGGGCATCACCTCAAAATAAAGAGAAGCAGATGTAGGACTGAGGTCAGGAGGAACTTCTTCACCCAAAGGGTTGTGAATCTGTGGAATTCACTGCCCAGTGAAGTGGTAGATGTTACCTCGCTGAATGATTTAAGGCAAGGCTAGATAAATTTTTGAACAGTAAAGGAATTAAGGGTTATGGTGAGTGGGCAGGTAGGTGGAGCTGAGTCTCAAAGAGATCAGCCATGATCTTATTAAATGGCGGGGCAGGCTTGAGGGGCCAGATGGCCTACTCCTGCTCCTAGTTCTTATGTTCTTAGGCAGTATAAAAATGTTGCTTTCTTTGAAATTAGGTATGATTAGGATCTGCCCTGATGAATGCATGATGCAAAGATTCTAGTTTTGCTTTAATAGTGTTGGCATCACTGACATTATTCATATCCTGCCAATATTTAGATTAATAGTGTGACTTAAAACAGGCATCATCTGCTGAAGTGGTAGTCCTGATAATGAAAACTTCTAAATGGAAATGATCTAAAGAAGATTTCGAGTGACAGGATATTTCACAGCACGTTCTCTTCTCAGTACTTATATAATGTTTTTCATAGAGTAAAACAAGGGAATTGTCAAACAAAAATTGACACACAGATATTCTGGTAGGCGACCAGAAGATTATTCAAAGAAGTAATTTTAAGGAGCATAAATGGGAAAGAGAGGCAGACAGATTTAGGGAGAGTGTTGTAAGGGGTTTTAGCAGCTGAAGGCAGAGTTGCCAATAGCGGAGAGTTAAAATCAGAAATGCTAGAAACAGAACCCGTCAAAGTTGTACTGCCAGGGGAGATTCTGGACATAGGGAGGGGAAATGCCATTGAGATTCTTTTTAAAACAAAGATGAAAATTCTAAAATTGAGGCACTGTCAACAATAATCTAGTGCAGTTCAGCGAGCATAGGACAGATGATGATCGAGACTTCTAAGAAAGATGCTACACCTTTTTTCTCCTTTCCACCTCTTGGCCTGTTTCTTGTGTTTTGTAACATTTTCTATTTGTTCCATACGTCTGTAGACCAGGATGCTACTCACGGGCTGTCAACAGGGGAAGGGATATAAATTATGTGCAATTAAGTGGAAATTGGCGCATTCGTTTTTAATCCCTTTCATCCAGCGAAGACGATGCACGCGTTGAAGGGGTTAAAAAGTGGACTTTCTTTATTGCAACACCAACTCATTATTTTTGTTTCAGATTTCCAGCATTCACAGCTCTTCCGGGTTTTTTTGTCCAACACATTGTGTTCGCGATAATTGTAATATTTAATACGGCAAACCAGGTCATTTATGCAAAGGTATACGTAGATTTACTTGACACGCAGAAGTCATGACACAATGACGTTACTAGCGTCACAAGTGTAAATTAGCATCGAAAGTCAGGTCCTGTGCGGTACTGTGAAACGACTTGTCGGGAGAAACTACTAGTCAGAAGATATTTAAGAAATTTGCTTTTGTTTGCATGTCATTGGGGCAGGGGTGCTCCCCACCAAGTCTTGTTGGGCCTCCCTGGTCTCGACTATTCAGTGGTGCAACAGAACTTGCCCCACCTCCAGATCAGAAGACCTTGTCTCTAAATCTCTTGTCGCTAAATCTACCGCCGGTTACTGTCAACTAGTGGCATCCGTGGAAAGCAAAGTACGGACGTTGCCAGACATGCTGAGTTTCTCCAAAATTTTCTGCGTTTGTTTAAGATTAGCATCCGCCGTTCTTCAGTGTTAAATGCGGATTAGTACGGATTGCCGAACGGATTCCCAGAAACTTTCATGTGAAGGATGGCCGGACGTTATGATTGTCATGATTCTGGAGCGTGCTGACCACTTTAAGAGGATCCCACAATGTTGCCATTTCCCATTTGGGGCCAGAGTCTCAACAGAGGATTTATTCTTTATATTAAAATTCACATCAGTACCATAAGTCTCTCGGAATAGAAGTAGGCAATTTGGTCTCGCCAGTCTACTTTGCTATTCAACGATGTTGTGGCTGGCCTGATAATTCACTTTCCTGCCATATTACCATAACCTTGATGGCCTTACTAATCAAAAATCTGTCCATCTCAGCCTTGAATACATTTAATGACCCAGAATTGACAGTCCTCAGCAGTAAAGAATTCCACAGAATTCACTACCACCCTGAATGAGGTAGTATCCTTATCCAAGGCATACAAGGCTATTGGCTAAGCGATGGAAAGTGGGATTAGAATCATCAGGTGCATGATTTTAACCAGTGCAAACTGAATGAGCCAAAAGGCTTTTTCTCTGCATTTTGGTCCTCTATGACAATGACTATTTAAGTAGGAAACCCCCAACACTGAAATTATGCCCTGTCATCC